GAATCTGGGAAAATTGGAAATTGTCAAAAATGAAATGTAACGCATAAACATTGATATCCTAGGCATTAGTGAGCTGAAATGGACTGGTATTGGCCATTTTGAATCGGACAATCATATGGTCTACTCTGCTGGGAATGACAACTTGAGGAGGAATGGCATTGCATTCATCGTTAAAAAGAACATTTCAAGATCTGTCCTGAAGTACAGTGCTGTCAGTGATAGGATAATATCCATACGCCTACAAGAAAGACCAGTTAATATGACTGTTACTCAAATTTACACACCAACTGCTAAGGCCAAAGATGAAGAAATTGAAGATTTTTACCAGCTTCTGCGGTCTGAAATTGATCGAACATGCAGTCAGGATGCATTGATAATTACTGGTGATTGTAATGAGAAAGTTGGAAATGAAGAAGGATCGGTAATTGGAAAATATGGCCTTGGTGATAGAAACAGTGCCAGAGATTGCATGATAGAATTTTGCAAGACCAACAACTTCTTCATTGCAAATATCTTTTTTCACCAACATAAACAGCGTCTATGGACCTCACCAGATGGAATACATAGGAATCAAATCGACTATATCTGTGGAAAGAGACAATGGGAAAGCTCAGTATTATCAGTCAGAACAAGGCCAGGGGCCAACTGCGGAACAGACCATCAATTGCTCATATGCAAGTTCAAGTTCAAACTGAAGAAAATTAGAACCAGTCCATGAGAGCCAAAGTATGACCTTGAGTATATCCCACTTGAATTTATAGACTATCTCAAGAGTAGATTTGACGCATTGAACACTAATGACCAAAGACCAGACGAGTCGTGGAATGACATCAAGGACATCATACATGAAGAAAGCAAGAAGTCATTAAAAAGACAGGAAAGAAAGAAAAGACCAGAATGGATGTTAGAAGAGATTCTGAAACTTGCTTTTGAATGTCAAGTAGCTAAAGCAAAAAGAAGAAATGATGAAGTAAAAGAACTGAAGATTTCAAAGTGCTGCTCAAGAAGACAAAAACTATTATAATGACATGTGCAAAGAGCTGGAGATAGAAAACCAAAAGGGAAGAACGCGCTTGAGGCATTTCTCAAGCTGAAAAAGCTGAAGAAAAAATTCAAGCCTCGAATTGCAGTAGTGAAGGGTTCTATGGGGAAAATATTAAATGACACAGGAAGCATCTAAAGAAGATGAAAGGAATACACAGAGTCATTACACCAAAAAGAATTGGTTGACATTCAGCCATTTCAAGAAGTAGCATATGATCAGGAGCCAATGGTACTGTAGAAAGAAGTCCAAGCTGCACTGAAGGCATTGGTGAAAAACAAGGCTCCAGAAATTGACAGAATATCAGATGAGATGCTTCAACAAACAGATGCAACACTGGAAGTGCTCATTCATCTACGCCAAGAAATTCGGAAGACAGCAACCCGGCCAGCCAAATGGAAGAGATCCATATTTATGCCTATTCCCAAGAAAGGTGATCCAACTGAATGTGGAAATTATCAAACAATATCATTAACATCACACGCAAGTAAAATTTTGCTGAAGATCATTCAAAAGCGGCTGTAGTAGTATATCGACAAGAACTGCCAGAAATTCAGGCCAAATTCAGAAGAGGACGTCGAACCAGGGATATCATTGCTGATGTCAGATGGATCCTGGCTGAAAGCAGAGAATGCCAGAAAGATGTTTTACCTGTGTTTTTTTGACTATGCAAAGGCATTCGACTGTGTGGATCATAACAAATTATGGATAACATGAAGAATGGGAGTTCCAGAACACTTAATTGTGCTCATGAGGAATCTGTACCTAGATCAAGAGGCAGTTGTTCAAACAGAACAAGGGGATACTGCATGGTTTAAAGTCAGGAAAGGTGAGCGTCAGGGTTGTATCCTTTCACCATATCTATTCAGTCTGTATGCTGAGCAAATAATCTAACAAACTGGGCTATATGAAGAAGAACAGGGCATCAGGACTGGAGGAAGACTCATTAACAACCTGCGTTATGCAGATGACACAATCTTGCTTGCTGAAAGTGAAGAGGACTTCAAGCACTTACTGATGAAGATCAAAGACCACAGCCTTCAATATGGATTACACCTCAACATAAAGAAAACAGAAATCCTCACAACTGGACCAATAAGCAACATCATGATAAACGGAGAAGAGATTGAAGTTGTCAAGGATTTCATTTTACTTGGATCCACAATCAGCAACCATGGAAGCAGCAGTCAAGAAGTCAAAAGACGCATTGCATTGGGCAAATCTGATGCAAAAGACCTCTTTAAGGTGTTGAAAAGCAAAGATGTCACCTTGAAGACTAAGATGCGCCTGACCCAAGCCATGGTGTTTTCAGTTGCCTCATTTGCATGCAAAAGCTGGACAATGAACAAGGAAGACCGAAGAAGAATTGATGCCTTCGAATTGGGGTGTTGGTGAAGAATATTGAATATACTGTGGACTGCCAAAAGAACGAGCAAATCTGTCTTGGAAGGAGTACAAGCAGAATGCTCCTTAGAAGCAAGGATGGCGAGACTACGTCTTAACATACTCTGGACATGTTATCAGGAGGGATCAGTACCTGGAGAAGGACATCATGCTTGGCGAAGTACAGGGTCTGCGCAAAAGATGAAGACCCTCAATGAGATGGATTGACACAGTGGCTGCAACAGTGGGCTCAAGCGTAACAATTGTGAGCATGGTGCAGGACCTGGCAGTGTTTGTTCTGTAGTACTTAGGGTCGCTATGAGTCGGAACCAACTCAATAGCACCTAACAACAGCAACGTATAGTTTGGAAATACATTAAAACTCTTTTAAAGAGAATCAAAGGAAGAGATGAAGTTACAGTGCAGAGTTACCTTACAATAAACACAGTGCTGAAGGAGACCATCGGTGTTCTCCTCATCTTCAGGCAAGTCAACAGCTTGATGCAATTTTAAAATAGAGTTTTTTCCAGACACACTAAAAAGTGCTTGTCTTAGTCATCTAGTGCTGCTCTAATAGGAATACCACAAGTGGATGGCTTTAACAAAGATAAATTTATTTTCTCACAGTCTAGTAGGCTAGAAGTCCAGATTCAGGGCATCAGCTCCAGGGGAAGGCTTTCTCTCTGTCGGCTCTGGGGAGGAAGGTCCTCGTCATCATCAGTCTTCCCCTGGACTAGGAGCTTCTCTGTGCAGGAACCTTGGGTCCAAAGGATGCACTCTGCTCCTGGTGCTTCTTTCTTGGTGGTGTGAGGTCCCCACTCTCTGCTTTCTTCCCTTTCCTTTTATCTCTTGAGAGATAAAAGGTGGTGCAGGCCACACCCTAGGGAAACTCCTTTACATTGGATCAGGGGTGTGACCTGGGTAAGGGTGGTGTTACAATCCCACCCTAATCCTCTTTAACATAAAATTACAATCACAAAATGGAGGACAATCACACAATACCAAGAATAATGGCCCAGCCAAATTGATACACATGTTTTTGGGAGGACATAATTCAATCCATGACAATGCTCTAGGTAATAAAAGGAATAGAAAAATACAGAATTCCAGATGGCTGGATTTTCCTTAGCCATATAGGTTTCTGTCCTGTCCTGATGTGTTTCTTGCCTATATATTGTCATAGTCAAGTGGAAGCAAATGTATTAAAGACTGAACACAGAACAAAGATTAAGGGGCTATGTTGAACCTAACAGTAAACATGTTAAACCAAAAAAAAAAAAAACTTTAAAATTGACTGTTGTTGTTGTGTACTGGCAAGTAGATCCCAACTTATAGTGACCCTATAGGACAGAGTAGAACCGCCCCAGAGGGTTTCCTAGGCTGAAATCTTCACAGGAGCAAATCACCAGGTCTTTTCTCCCACAGAACCACTGATGGATTTGAACTGCCAACTTCTCGGTTAGCAGCCAAGTGCTTAACCATTGCGCCACCAGGGCTCCTTTTTAAATTGACAACTGTATGTCAATAGACCATTTAATAATGTAGAATTTGATTTTATATATTACTTGAATTTCTTGGTTTGTTTATAGATCCTTGTTGTTGTTAGGTGCTGTCAGGTCAGCTCGGACTCATGGTGACCCTATGTACAACAGAACAAAACACTGTCCAGTCCTGTGCTATCCTCATAATTGTCGTTATGCTTGAGCTCATACATTGATAATATATGGAAAATATAAAATGGTAATATATAGAAAATCAATAAGCAGAAAGAACCGTAGCACACATAGGCGTTCAATAAATATTTGTTGAATCTAGAAACTATTTGTTCTGTAAGCCTTCACCTGAAGTACAATAAAATATAAAAAAATAAAAATTTATTGAATCTAAATTCTCAAATCCATATTCAAAGCAGGAGTGATGGCTTCCTTTTCTAGGGAAAAAAAGTATCAGCTTTTTCACAAGAAAAGTTTTCTGAAACACTGCTATGTCCCAGAGACTTGGGTGTGTCTCTCCCTGAATAGGGGTAAAGCCCGGAGCTGGGGCTGTCCTCCCCTGCCTAGTGCTGTTGAAGCAGAAGAGATGTAACTGCAAAGTGTTTGTATATCGAGGTTGTAAAACCAGTTTAAAATACCTTAGAAGTATCCACTGAAAGAAATAATTAAGTACAAAATAGAACTTGTATTTATTCCTAACAGGATAATGACTTCGTTCATCTAGTTCAGACTAATATTTCTTTGAAAGTCATTTTCTTAAAAATAAACACGCTATTCACCATTTAGATTGGCCTCCTGTACCATTATTCTGAATTTATCTCCTATAGTTTCATGTAACAGTAAATTCCCTGTCTGTTTATGTTCATAAGATCTTAGAAAATAGCTTACAATCTTTATATCTTCTATAGATTTGACATTTATATTTGGTGACTTGTATGAAAACATGAGCCAACTTGCTTAGTTTGGTATAGCAGCAGAACCAACTGGGTTAAAACACTAAATAGCCTCAAAATGACTTGCCTTTTGCTATCTTTTGTAAATTTATTTGTACCCTAGCTCATTTTTTTTTTTTCTTTGAAAAGCCTTGCAGTGAGAGAGTTTCTTTGTCTGGATGATCCACCAGGTCCATTTGATAGCCTAGAAGAAAGCAGGGTAAGTGCTGTGTTATATATTACATAAAAAGAGGAACAAATAATCCAGTACAATAACCTCATTGTTTCTTGAATGGACGAGCAAAATATTATAATTTCAGACTATGGTAGTTTTGCTCAGAAAGCTTTTAATGTTTAAGGCAAACGTTTTATTTCATTTTAAACACATGGAGCTAGTTAAGTGAAAAAAACAAAGATTAATTCATGTCATATAGTTAATGAACCTCTAAAATTAAACCCTGCATTATACTCTCTTTACTATTGTACAAAAAAAAGAAAAAAATGATTTTGGGATTTATTTGACTACATTAAAAGTACTATTTGTATGCTGAATTTTATTCCATCTAAGTGTCGAAGTAAAGAACCTACAGTTCAAATCAAATTTAAAAGTGATTGTTCTGTTATCATCAGTGGTGGAAGTGATTGTGCTGTTATCAGTTCAGCTCATGCCTGATGCTACTCAGATTACATTAATTGACGTATTAAAGTGGCCTGTTTCTTGAAACAATAAGCTAGATTCACAAAACAGATTTGGTAATAATAGATTGGCTAAGGTTTTATGCAAGTTTTTCCCTAAATGTTTATTAATGTTTAAATGAAACGTATTTCATTGGTAAGTTGGTAATGTTTTTCAGTTAAACTGAATGAGTTCTTTCTGTTAGAGCGAATGCTGTCTCTTTTTTAAACAGCTTTCTAGTTTTCACCCATGATTCCCCCAGTGTAAGTGCATAATTTAATACTTTTTACTGAATTGGCAGAGTTGTGTCACTATCACCACAGTCGAGTTTTGAATTATTTTTGTCACCTCGAAAAAATGTAGCCTGTTTTCAGGTAGCTCACACTCTCAGCCCCAGGCAACCACTGATCTGCTTTCAGTCTCAACAAGTGTGCCTTTTCTGTATATTTCATATAAATCGAAACACATACTACATATACATGTATATATTTATATGTATGTACACATACATACATATCTGTGTGTAGATAGATCTGTAATCTTTTGTATCTAGTTTCTTTCATTTAACAATGTTTTTGAGGTTCATCTATGTTATAGCCTCTATCACAATCTCATTCCTTTTTATTCCTAAAGCAGTTTTCCATTATATGGATTTACCACATTTTGTTTATCCAGACACCAGCTGACAGACATTTGGATTGTTTCCAGTTTTACACTGTTATAAATATTGCTGCTGTGAACAATCTTCTAGAAAGCTTCTTGTAAACATCTTTTCATTTCTCTTGGGTCAGTCCCTAGGAATGGAATTCTTTGGTCATATGGCAAGCTTATGTTGAACTTTTTCAAGAAACAGACTGTTTTCTAAAGTGGTTGTACCATTTTACCTTCCCACTAGTAGTATGTGTAAGTCCTGTTTTCTCTACATCCTCACCAACATTGGATATTGTGTTTTCTAGGATTATAGCTGTTCTCATGGGTGTGTAGTGGTATTTCATTGTAATTTTAATTTGCATTTCCCTAATGACTATTAATGTTGAGCACCTTTATGGAAGCCGTTGACTTCTTTAAGGAAATGTCTAAGTCTTTTTGCCAATTTTTTTTAAATTTTTCTGTTTATCATATTGAGTTGTAAGGGTTTTTCATTTTGGGTAAAAGTCCTTTATCAGATATATGATTTGCAGATATTTTCTCCCAGTCTGTGTGTGTCTTTTCATTTTCTAAATGGTGTCTTTTGAAATGCAATTTTTTTTAGTTCTAATGAAGTCTGTTTTATCTTTTTTTTTTTTTTAAGTAGATCATGCTTTTGGTGTTGTATCATAAGAACTCTTTGCCTAATTCAAGGTTACGAAGATGATTTTCTCCTACATTTTTTTCAAGAAATTTTATAGTTTTAGCTCTTACTTTAGGTATATGATCCATTTTTTTTATAAGGCAGGAGGTAAGATTCTTACATTCCTATAGATTTCCAATTTTTTCAGCACCGTTTATTGAATTGTATTGGCACCTTTGTCAAAAATCAAACAACCATAAATGTTAAGGGTTTATTTCTGGACTGTCATTTCTGTTCCATTCATCAGTTTGCCTATCCTATGCCAGGGCTACGTTGTCTCCTTCACTGAAGCATCACAGTATGTTTTGAGATCAGGTAGTGTAAGTACTCTAACTTTGACCTTCTTTTTTACAGTTGTTTTGGCTTTGCAGTTCTATAAAAATTTAGGATCACCCTACTAATTTCTACAAAAAGTCTATGAAATTTTTTTAGGAATTACATTGAATCTATAGGTCATTTTCCAGAAAATTGCTATCTCAAAATATTGAGTCTTACAGTGCATAAACATGAAACATCTTTAGATCTTCTTTAATTTCCCTGAGTGTTTTGAAGTGTTTTACACTTCTTTCACAAACGTATTCCAAAGTTCTGTGATTGGAATTGTTTTCCTATGTCATTTTCAAATTATTCATTGCTAGTATCAATGGCAACTAACAACAAGTATTTAGAAACACAGTAGATTTTTAAGATATTAATCTTATATCCTGTAACATGACCTGACTTAAATGTGTTTATTCTAGTAGATTTTTTTTGTGGATTCCTTAGGATTTTCTACATATAGGATCATGTCATCTGCAAATAAAGACAGCTGAACTTCCTGGGTGCCATTAAGTTCTTTATTTTCTTTCTTTCTGTATTTCCCACACACACCCCTTTATAGGTGGCCAAGAACCTCCAGTAAATATTAAGTAGAAGTGGCAAGAACAAACATCCTTGCTTTCTTCCCAATCCTAGGGGGAAATATTTCAGGTTTTCATCGCTAAGTATGATGTTAGCTATAGGTTTGTCTTGTATCAAGTTGCTTGATAGTGTTGTTTAAGTCTCTGTATCTTTGCTGATATCCTTGCTGGTTTTCTGTCTACTTGTTCATCTGTTATTTAGATATGACTGATTGCTGTTGAATCAATTTGGACTCATAGTGACCCCACAGGACAGAGTAGAACTGTCCCATAGGGTTTCCAAGGAGCGCCTGGTGGATTCTAACTGCCAGCTTTTGTGGTTAGCAGCGGAACTCTTAACCACTATGCCCCTGATATAGGTGTTGGAATACCTGGCTGTCATTGAGTTGTCTGCCTCTTGCAGTTGTGTTAATTTTTACCTCATGTATTTGGGGCCACTTAGGTGCATATACGTTAATAATTGATACGTTTTCCTCGTGATGTATTGTCCTAAGGTTCAGTGTAATGAATGAACCTTTTACCATTGTGAAATGTCCCTTTCTGTCTCTAGTGGTTGTACTCTTAAAGTCTGTTTTGTTTGATATTAATATAGCCACTCTACCTCTCTTACGGTTACTGTTTGCATAGGATCTTTTTCCAAGCTTTTGTGCCTTTCTGCACCTTTCGGTCTAAGGTGTATCTCTTGTACATAGGGTTGTACATGGGTTGGGTCTTGTTCTTTTATTCAGCCTGACATCTGTGGCTTTTACATCTCTTTGTCATATCTTTTTTAGTCCTCTGTACCTCCTTTGCTGCCTGCTTTTGTTTTAAATAAATATTTTTTTTTAATATATCGTGTTGATTTCAATCAGAGTTTCTCAGCCTTCACACAATTGGCATTTTGGGCCTGATAATTCTTTGTTTGGGGGAGAGAGTTCTTACCTGTGAATTGGGATATTTAGCAGCACACCTGGCCTCTATCTACTAGATGCCGGTAGCATCTCCCCTCCCCCAGTTCGTGACACTCAAAAATAATCTCCAGACATCGCCAAGTGTCCTCCCAGGAGCAAAGTAACCCTTGGTTGAGAACCACTGATTTAGTAAATAAATCACCAAAATCAAAAAAACCAAACTTGTTGCTGTCAAGTCGATTCTGACTCATAGCGACCCTATAGGACAGGGTAGAACTGCCTCGTTGGGTTCCTAAGGTTGTAATTTTTATGGAAGCAGACTGCCGCATCTTTCTTCTATAGAGCGCCTGGTGGGTTTGAACCACCGACCTTTTGGTTAGATTAGCAGCCGAGCACTTAACAACTGCTCCGCCCAGGCTCCTTGTAAATCACCAAGGCAGTATTTAAGTTTCTACACTCAAGAAAGTAATATGGAGGAAATCTCCTAGAACCTTTCTCTAAAACAAATGTATTTCCTAGAACTGTACTTGAAATTAAATGTTTATTTGGACAGTAAATTTGTTCAGTGCTAGTTCTTCTCTTTCAAAATATAATCGACAGTGATTTTGCCAGATACATAGCTCTTTATTCTACAGACTTCGTTAAGCAACCTCTCATTTTAAGAAAAATTCCAAAAGTACCATAGTAATCCATACCCCTTGAAATATAAACTTACTCAAAGGATAATGAAGCCTTCAATCCAGTAAATCCTGACTCTCACCTGCTTAACAACTGCTTGTAATTATATAATTGAAGTATTCCTGGTGACTTACTGCTTTTGTTATTAGGTAGTGGGTCTCTTTGTGCCCAGCAATGTTTTTTGCCTTGAAATCCATTTGGTCTGATGTTAATAAAACTACACCTTTTGGGACAGGAGGGGGAGATTAGCTTGTGGCTGTCAAGTATTTTTCCAGCCTTATTTTGTTGGTGTGTCTCTTACAAACATCATATAGGCAGATTTTTGTGTTTTAATCTAATCTGAAAGTTTGTGTCTTTTAACTAGTGAGTTTAATTGTTATTTATAGTGATTACTGATACAGTTTATTTCTACTATTTTATTTTGTGCTTTTTATTTACTTTGCTTTTTTAATGTTGCTTTTTTCTCCTTTCCTCCCTTTTATAGATTTAATGAATTTTCTCTCTGCCCTTTTTTTTTTTTTTTTTTTGCTATACTCCTGGTTTCTAAGTTATATATTCAGTGTCTTTTATTCAGTGGTCATATGGTATTCTAATCTAATACTCTAGAACCAAGTGGTGTACAGCCCTACCCAAAGTTGGCCATTATTATGTTCTGTACAGTGGATGCTTTGTTTGCAGCTTGCTTTCCTCACCATTCCTTCTTTCATCCCACTCTTTCCTTTGGGGCTTAATTAACTTCTTTTTAAAGTACAGCCAGTCCCGGGTTGTGAGACAACTGTACTTGCCCTTTAATGTTATGTAAATTTGCCCTGACTTGGAAATGATGGAACCAACCCCTACTTGCAACAAATTCTTCATCACAGTCTTTACTTGCTACATGTGCAGCTTTTAAATGGTTGAAAAGGCTTCGAGCCTCTTCTTGTACTAACGTAACGCTAAATAAGAGTGGTAACACCTGTTACTGACTTACAAATTCGATTTAAAGGCACCGTTAGGAACAAATCTCGTTCGTAACCCGGGCACAGCATTTAATATTTCTTTCAGTGTGGGTCTGTTAGTAATGTTTAGGTCTTTGGTGTCTGAGTTTTTTTCACTCTTGCTCTCATTCTTGAACTGTGTTTGTGTGAGTGTGGAGGTGTTCTCCACCGCCTTTCACCTAGACTGTTGCGTGAGACGTGTGCTCCCCGTTTATTGTAGCCCCTTTGTTGGACTGTTTTTTCCCCTAGTGTTTTGGAGATCTTCTCTTTGATTTTGGTATTTGCAATTTCACTATCCTGTCTCTAAGTGTGTATTTATTTTTATTCTTCCTTGGGATTTTCCAAATCTAAAAATGCTAGTATTTCACCAGTTCTGAAAATTCTCCACTGTTTTCTCATGGTTAATATTGTTTTTCCCCCATTCTTTTTCCTTTTCCATCTGTCTTAACCATATCTTCGTACTGTCTATCTCTCTGTGTTTCATTCTGGATAATTTCCTTATGTCTGGCTTCTAGTTCACTACTGTTGTCTTGAGACAGGCTTATTTCACTATTTGATCCTTCCGTTCGTATTTTTAATGTTATTGACTATAGTTTTCATGTCTTGTCATTCTGTTTGATTTGTTTCATGTGTCCTTTAGTTTTTTTAATAGAGGCTTTTAAATATATATTTTCAAGTCATTGTAAATGCCCGTATTTGAGGTCTCCATCTAGTAGTTCTGTAATCTGGAGTCTCTGTGATCCTAATCCCCTGATGGATCTGTTCACTTTCTTTCATGTTAGATTGTTTCCATTGTGCTTTGTAATGTTGGATTGTAAATTCACTTTCATGAGAACTCTGTCTACAGGGACCTTGTTCAGCCTAGGTTGAGGGTGTATCATTCCATAGAAGTTTCTGTTTGCTTCTGAAAGAATACCTTGGTTGTCATTGGTCCTGGACTTTATTTATTTAATGCTAGTTTCTCAGTTTGATTGTTTCTGACCAAATGTAATAGGGTAAATTCAAATCCAAAATTCATATGAGACATTGACCGATGGTTATGGATTCTTCAGGGGAGACGATCTTGCCCACCTAGAGGCATGATGAGACAAGCAGTCAGTGTTTCTTGTATTCCTGTGTTCAAGGATGACCTTTATTACTGGTTTAGCTCTTTAGGGTCCTTGCTTTATTACTGGTCACTGACTCCCCCACCCCCAAAGTGTGCCTGAGTCCTCATTTCTTATCCCATCCTGGATCCTGGTGTTCCAAGCCAGGCTCTAAGGTAACCGAAATCAGCATCCTCTCCTGGACACTTCTTCCCTGCTCCCTCAGCTGTAGCGTCAGTGGATGTGCTTAGGCACTTGTTTTAATTTCTCTTCATTTTGCCCCCAAAACTTACCTTTCTTTCTTGTCCGCACAGCTGCTTAAACAGTTGAGGTATTTTATAGCTGGAAGCTTTAGTGTATCTGGCTTACCATACTTTTAGTAATGGAAGTTGTATGTTGTTGATTTATTTGTCTCTATGGTTTTCGGTTCTGCTTGAGTGATGGTTGAAAATTGTTCCTTTTTTCATAATGTTGTGAATATACTCAGATTTTTAAATGTGGAAATGTTTATATAATGTCTGTCTTACGTGGTTGGAGCCCTGGTGGCTTAGTGGTTAAGAGCTATGGTGTGCTACGGCTGCTAACCAAAAAGGTCAGCAGTTCAAATCCACCAGCCACTCCTTGGAAACCCTATGGGACATTTCTACTCTGTCCTGTAGGGTCACTATGAGTCGGAATCAACTTGACGGCAGTGGGCTTGGTTTTTTGGTTATCTTATGTGGTTAGATGAAAAAAGCAAGCCAGAGAATGGTGTGCATTATATACTCCCATCTATATTAAAACAAATATTTGAGAAACTGAAAGTAATTCAGTTTGGTTGGAACATGGGTATGTGGAGGACCAGAGGAAGGGAAAGGTAAGAGAGCAAGCTGTGAAGTTGGAGTGAAAGGCATATACCACATCATTAAGGTACCTTGTTTGCCAAGGTTGGAGATTTGACTTTATGCCATAGGCAGTGTTGAATCACAGGTAACATGATCACATCTGTTTTTAAGAAAACCAGCTTTGTGGAGAGTGGATTGGAAGAGTGCCAGAGTGAACATAGGCAGGCCAAAGAGTTTACAGGTACTGTAGTTTAGTTAAAAACTAAAGGCAGTGGTAATGGGGATAGAAAGTAAATGATTAAAATACAAGAGATGTTGACGAGATAATGGGGGAGAACGGGAATGGAGAAAGGAAAAGACGTGATCACCCTTAAGCTGTAGAAATGAGGGAAATGAATGACTAAGGTGACTGCCTGGTGGCTTGGGTGATTAGATGGTAGAGCGTATGTTCCTTTGGAGGCATTTTCTCTTTGATTTGTCATTGATACATCCAAATGAAGGGACCTGGAGGCATTTTGAATGGTATCTGTGTAATCAGGAAAGTTTTGGGCTGGAGATTAACCAAAAAAGAAAACAATTGGAAGGTGGTAACATAGAGAATAGATGACAGCTGAAGTGATGAGAGTAATTGTCACTGCCCAGGATGGCACGTAGAGCAGGAGAAACTAACCAAGGACAAGACTCTGATGAATGCCCACGTGCAAAGAACAGGCTCGAGGCTAGGGAGTAACTGTCAGAGTTAGGAAAGGAATCAGGAAGGTTTACAAAGGCCAGTGAGAGGGAATCGTGTGAAAAAATAACAGTGATAAATAAGCCAACAATGACATGCTGCAGAGAAGTCAAGGGGATAGTACCTAAAAACAGTGCTTTGGATTTGACAATTAGAAGGTCATTGTTAGCTTTTACCTAGGCATAATCAATAGAGGAAATGAGACTAAACCCGTTAATGTAATGGTTTGAGTAATGAATGAAAGCTAAATTTAGGTGATGAAAAAACTTTTTCTTGTAGCTCATTTTGAAAGAGAAGAGATAACATAGTGTCTAGAAAGACGTATGGTCAAGCGAGTGGTGGAGGTGATTTTGTTCTTATATGGGAGAGAGTTTTAGGATTTACTTAATAAGCTTCAGGGATGAAACCAGGAGGGTGGAAAAGGTTGCAAATCTGAGAGGGTAAATGATGGCACAAGCTCCCAGGCTCTTCTTTAATGCGAAGAACCAAGTGAATGGATTAGCCTTGAGGACAGAAGATAGGATGAGTCTGGATGCCAGTGTACGTAGGACTCGGAGAGTCTGTGATTTTTTTTTTTTCTGATGTAGGAAGCAAGATCATCTGCTGGGCTCTGGAGCAACAGCAGTGACAATCATGTAGGAAATTTGAGGGGAGGGAAGGGTCTAAAATAGTCACAAGAGGAGACAAGTCGTAGCTAATAGGAACAATGAATAAGATTGATCAGCAACATTGAAAGCGTCACCAAGTTAAGTGACCAGATTTCTGTCATGGCATCATTCATGGTAGTGTGATTATATTTGTTTTAATCTTTATTTCATCAGTGTTCAGCATCCTGGATATAGAAGCAGAGAACATGAACCACTGGGTTTTGAGTAAATATGGTGAAAAGAGGCAGAGGGAAAGCGGTGTTGAAGGTGCTGTCAAGGAAGTTGTTGTCACAGCAGTATGTCTGTTAATACAAAGGGAACCAATAGCCTTGGTTGTTTAAACATCGAATCAGGTAGGGCTGGGCAAAAGTAGATTAAGGAGAACAGAAACTATAGCAGCAGATATCAGTCTTCTTTTCCCCAGTTCAACATGAGAGGGAGACAAAATACTCACTCAGACACACGGCTTACTGTTGTAATAATTCTCAAGAAAAGTCTCCCAGGTGGATGGGGACTAAAGAAAGAACCAAGATAGCAGAGACCTAAAAAGCTGAGGGGAGAGACCAAATCACTGGGCTGTGTACATATTACTTTGATTATTCATGTTCTTTAACTCTTCAGTAATGCTCTTGAGAAAGGTACTGCATAAGTAATTATGTTTACCCTTTTTCTGCATGCGTTTGGGCTTTTTTGTTTTGTTTTTAGGCTTTCTGTGAAACTTTAGAAGAAACAAACTACCGCTTACAGAAAGAACTGCTTGAAAAGCAAAAAGAGGTGGAATCGCTGAAGAAGCTGCTCAGTGAGAAGCAGCTCCGTATCAACACTCTAGAGGACAGAATCAGGTGTGTCGGGATGCTGGCAAGTTTAGTCTGATGAGTTCAGCTTTAATGCTCCGTTGTTAAATGCCGTTTGTGTTTTAATGTGATTTAGGAAGTTTCTCCTTCTGAAAGTTGTAGGCTCTCGGCGTACTTCCCTGTTTTTGGAAAAACTGTCTTTTGATTATTTAGCAGGCCGAACATTTTTAAGGATGGGAAAAATTCAAAAAATTAACCTCTCACTGTTAAACAAAACAAACATTACTCATCTTAACGTATTTAAATGATAACTTTGTTTCTGGGAGCTTATGCCGGCTTTTCGTATATGAAAGCTCTAGTCTGCCTTCTCAGCAGCATATATTGAATTGATGCTGGAATTATTTTGCATTAGTTGTAATTACTAATTCCTCTGCTGACTCCCAGACTCAGCAATTTATTAGCTCTGTGACTGCATTAAGATGTAGCAGCAGAAGACCACTAAAGCCACAGGTATTCACAGCAGGAAGTTTATACGTGTTTCATCCATAGAAAGTAACTTGTTCTTGTAATTGACTTCTAGAATGTTGTCTTTAGAACCTGAAGACTCACTGTGCATGTCAGGAACAGAAGGTGGACAGATCCTGAAGGTGGAGTCCTCTGTACTTGAGTCAGATCAAGGTGTCTTGGATGAACCATCTAGGTATATAATGTTTTGTTTATTACAGCAGTTTTTGAGTAGTTGGAAGTACTTAGCTCTGTGTTACTTTTGTTAATAAACGCAGTTTTGTCATCCGTCTTCCAGCAAGTAGGGAAGAACCACAGACACTCTGTGCTCTTCCTGAACTGAGTCTTTGGCGTCAGGCTGGAAGCCATAGCTTTCTCATTAGTTGCTGTGAAGCTGTGTCTGAATTAATTGGGCTCTGGCTCAGTCTTCGTTAATTTTGTAAATCTTGACAAATTAATCTTCATTCAAAAAGTAGGACACTATAATAGCAACCACCCCACCTACCTAATAGGAATGATGAAAAGATAGTATATTTGAAAGTGCGTAGAATTTTTGTTACATATAAATCCAAGGTGATTGTTAATACTTAAGTGGTAGTGGTTAAATTATCATTATAAGCACAAATTTTATGTTGGTAAAGGTAATTACAAATGGGATTTTTATTGGTAAATGGTAGTTTGGAGATCTGAGAGTTAAAAATCTCTCTCCAAAGATGTTATTTGTTAGTGACAAGTTAAATATATTAAATTTCTGATTGAATATTTGCGTTCTTTATATAAGGTAAAAGATTTGTAAAAGTTAATAGTGAAGTGAAATAGCATTCATCCAATCCCTTCATTAGACGTGTTTCTCTTTTTTTTTGCAGAGCTGATAGTAAGCCATGCTTAAGTTGTAGTGAACTTGAAAATTCTGTGTCAGAGATAGAAGTAGCAGAAGTGGCTTATAATGCTGACGAAGACTAATGCATCTCAAGCATCTCCCTCCATTTTGACATTTTAGTAAATTAGAACCTAGTTGCAGTTATTTTTTTAAAAAAGGACTGTGAAACATTTACAGAAAAAGCAAGAATGTACATGTATAAAGTTTACATAAAGAAAAAATATTTAAGTTATTGGGATAGGAAGTATATTCGCTGCTGCTTTTAATCATCTTTTATCCACTTTTGTATTCAATACACTAAAAAAATCTAGAATTCTGTTACCGAAACTCATGTTCTTAAATACTGTACATAAATGATAATGGTATTTTGCCACTATATTTTGCTCCAAACTGACATGTATGTGTATTTTTTTTTAATCACCAGTTATATTCGTCAAATAGAAATTAATTGCACGTTCCTATCGGGATGATTATATACTTCTTTGTATCTCTGACATATTTTCATTAGTGGTTTAAATTAATGAACATCATAGTAAGAAAGACAAGCTGAATTGTAAATGTTGACATTTTTACCATCTCTAAATGAAAATTGGTTGTTTGGAATGTTAATACTATTTAAAAGAAAAGGAAATGACATGCCTTTCTAGTACCAAAGAAAAACTGTTTGAAAGAGCTGAAATCACAGAGTTAAGTGATAAAAATAGCCTTGATTTGAAAAGCTAATTCATGAATGTCGAGGGACTATAATACCATGGAACCCTGGTGGCTCAGTAATTAAGAGCTTGGCTGCTCACCAAAAGGTCAGCAGTTCGAGTCCACCAGCTGCTCCTTGGAAACCCTATGGGGACAGGTCTGCTGTATCCTCTAGGGTCACAATGAGTCAGAATCGGCTCGAAGGCAATGGATAATACCATGTCCTGATTTATTATAATATGTTATGCTTGTTTATTTTCCATATAATCTTAAATCTCTACCTGTAGAATCCATGGGTTTGCCTTTTTCAGCACACTACCTCTTTTTCTAATCAAGGCATACTCTTTGGAAAATATAGAGTCTAAGCAAATAGGAAGTTACACAAAAAGAGAAGAAAAGAAAAAGCCATATATGCTAGAAAGCTCCTAGCTAGGCTGACTCCTCTGGTATGGCGTTTTTATTTCTGTATATGTGAAGATGTTGCTGTAATGTATTGTGACTGATTTTAATATATTTAGCCAAGCGATGCACTTTATGATAATTAAACTCTTTTGTGCCAAGTTTAATTGGTGAATTCCTTTAGTAAGTGGAGTTAGGAGAAGGAATTATGTAGTGCCTTTAGCCTTGCACATTTTACAGAAGGGTCCTAGGGTCTGTGAGTCAGCTTTATGAAAATGTTTTCTGCTTATTTCAGCTTTGCATTTAGTTACTGAAAGTGCCTTGTTTCATTTTACCGTATGAAGTTACTCATTTATTTGGTTTCTACTGTTTTACCAGTTGCTGTTAATCTGCACTGTAATCCTGCTAGCATTTGGAAATCCCATGTGTTATACTGAGCTGCATATGCTTTCTAAACACGGAGGGAAATAGAAACAATCTCCAGTTCTTTGTTTCTTTACTGTAAAAGTTTATGAGTATCTTGATTGATGTACATGCTAAGATACAGTTGTTTAAAATTCCACTCATAAAGATCAGCACATTCAGTGGCTGTTGTTAATCTCTGATCTAAAAAAGAGACTATTTTTTACTAAAGTACCAAAATTTTTAAAGTCTTTGTCAAAATACACAGGTGTGCTCTATCTCAGAATTTTCCACAAAGTATATATTACAAATGTGTTTACTGTGCTTGGAGACAGAAAAATTTCAATATAATGAACCGGTCTACTTGTTCATTTAAAAAATACCATTCTAGACCTTGCAAAAGGTTTTAAAAGAACAATCATTTAAATCGATTAATACCATTTTCAGTCTAATAAAACAAGGTGATTTTTGCCAAATTCCAGATATTACAGTGCTATGTATCTGCCTTAAAGTGAACCACACCCACTTTTAAAATCTGGCCTTTCAGAAGATGGTATTTGTAGTTTTGGATGGGGGAAGAATAACTCTGTTAATTAGGTAAGCCATTATTATTTATATTTAGAATTTACTTTTTTTTACTTTTATAATGCATTTTATTCCCAGTATTCTATTCATTTAATAAATTATTTTTTTCAGTACAGCAGGAGCTATGTTGTTAAGATATTGAATATCTTTTTCCCGCTCCAATTTCTGTGTTCTTCTCCCTACTCCCGGTTGTTGTTACAAATTAAGTTATCTTTAAGTGCTGCATTTCACAGATGTGGAGTGAGTCTGTGATTTTCTTTTTACATTTACATGTCACATTACTGATAATTTTAAGTCTCGTCAGCAGGTGCAATGAACGTCAGATGTAACCAATATTAATAAAAAACTAAACATAACTGAACCAGAAAAACACTTTCGTGGATAATCTTTTACCTTTTTTTAAGATTTCAGTTCACGTATAGGTAGTTCAACCATGAAACTTAGCATTAAAAATTATATTTTAAATATATATTTATTTGTTCAAAATGTATTTTATCTGTTAACTACTCTGAGATTAGCCATTGGGAAGTACATTTAGAAAACCGTGTTCCTCAAATACGTATGTAGTCTTGTTCGGCTATCTGTTGTATTAGGAGGGAACAGTGGCTTAAGTCTAAACATAATGCATACCTGTGGTTTTAAAGTGGGTTTTATCACTAATAAGGACAGAGGTGGTTTTGGATTCTGTTAAAACCAGTGTCTTTTCCCAGAGAGAGGAACCCAAACATTACCCTCTGGAGACCGTCAGAGAGCTCCGTGTTTGCCCCACATGTCACTGTTCATTGAGTTTCCTGTACTTCACCGCACTTGCTGCTGGGCTTCTATACTGTTGCCTTTTACCAGGGAAAAGCAATCATCAAAACTTGTGTTTTCAACAAATATGTTTTAATCCTGTTGGCTGCTTTTCACACCATGTACCCTTTATGGGGACCCATGGGAGAAAGTTCTCTTAAGTCTCAGTACCAGTAAAACTGACCTTTTGCTGAAAGATTGATTTGTTTTTATATTAAAGACTCAGTTACTTACATGGGTTTTGTTTTGCCTTTTTGGCGCCTCTGAGCCTAATTGTTTTCACCTCTAGCTACTGCATAGAACCGTATGCATTATGCTTTGTGCAGTAATCGTTGGCTTTATTGTATTTGTCTATCTTTATTTTTCTCCTAACTCTAGCTTTCTTCCCTATTTAATTTATCCCGTTAGAACACATGTAATTTTGTTCTGATGACGTCTCAGACTTGAACAACATCTTAGACTACATTTAGGTAAGAACTTGTCATATCCTTGCACTTGATCTTAAACAATCACTGCCACCACCAAGTGATGCCAGTAATTACAAACAGTTAAATTATCCTTCTCTTTTAAAAATGCCTTTAGGTAAGATCAGTGAATATGGAATGCAAACTGAGAAATGCTAGCTGGTGGCAAGCTATGGGTAGGTTTTTGGCCAGAGCACATAGTGATTAAGTCATGGTTTTAACCATAGCCTCAAATTAGAACAGACGCCCCTTGCCAGTTACATACAGCGAGGTGATGTCTGAAGTCCTTTGCTAAAGTGTGAGATATAAAGCTCCACCTTGTCATTATTGAGCCCTTAACTCTAGAGGACTTACCCTCTAGAATTAGTTGATCTGCCAGTTCAAGCTTTCGGTTATCTTGCATAGCAAACACTGTCCATAGTCCAACCCAACAGATACTTGCAATCCTCTTCTTTGCCACGTCCAGGATAGGAGTTGGAAAAGCTAAATACTTACTTTCTCGGCTCTGGGTTTGGAGATGTGACACAATTATGGACAGTGAGACAAGGGAAAGTCTGCTGGTGGCTTCTGGGAAGTCTTGCTTTTCCTGAAAGCAGGCAGACATGCTCAGATACAGTCCCTTCCTCTTGTTTTGTTCTCACATTTGCTGTCCAGAGGTACTGTGGCAGACGTGAGGTGTGACCAGCATAGGGAAGGGTAAGAGGAGCACAGAGATTCTGCCTCCTTCAGCAACTGTAATTCGTGGATTTTTTTTTGCTAATTGTAACCAAAAACATTTCTAATTGATGTACCAAAATAAAAGCTATCTTAATTTGGATTGCAGATTATAATCTTAAGGAACAAAAGCTTTCAAAAAAAAAAAAAAGCTTTTCTGTCTGTAGTGATAGTGTTTTTTTGTTTGTTTTTTTAAAGCTCAAGAGGAGAGAAGCGTCTTTTAGACATAACTGTTGTTGCTAGGTGCCATCCATTAGACATAACTTAAGTCCCTTAACTTTTGAGGCTCCTCTGGCAAATCAAATATGAAAGAGAATACAAATAGTCTATTTTCTAGATATAGTATAGGAACATCATTGAAATAGTTACAGAAATACTTCACAGTTCAAAAGATCAAAGTAGATGGCCTTTTCATTCATTTGTCCATTCAGCAAACATTTATTGTGCATCGACTATGACTTGGCACTGAGTTATAAAAATTAAGAAACAGACATGAGTTCTTGGTTCTTTCTTAGTAATCCATGTCCCTAATGCATTTTCTGATCAGCTTTGTGGTTTCTTTAGAGTGAATACTCAAGACCTGTGGGAAAGAATCTGTGACAGAAAGCTGCTCGATTTTTCGTTTTTTTCAAACTTGTGCTGCTATCTGGCTATACTTTTACCAAGTTCTTTCCAAATCATTTGACCTAGTTTTCCCACAAATATTTTGCATTCATATTTCATTAGTTCATACTATATTAATCAACTTATTTTAAATTCAACTTTAAATACAGCTGCTGTACACGAATTTGGAAGCAAACTGATTCTTAGTAACCATACAGCACACTGGGGGAGCAGGGGCGTGCAGGTGATCTGAGAAGGAGCCCAGTGGCCACGAGCATTCAGATGTCTTACAGAGTGTACTTTATAGTAAAGATGGAGAACCTCAGCATATCAGTTAAGTGAGTATTCCACGGCTGAGGGGCAGGGATGATTTACCTTATACCTAAAACGTATCCAGTTCTCCTCGTCTCCACAACCATCACCCCGGGCCAGTATCTCAGATGAATCACCGCAATCACCTTTTAACTGGTCTCCCTGCTCCCACCTTCGCCCCCGCTGTAATCCTTGCTCGGCAGTGGCCACAATGTTCTTTTTGAAAACCTAAATCACGTCCTGTGTTTTCTGTACTTAAGAATTTTTGAAGGTTTCCCCTTGTGCTTAAAATTATAAAGTTCAGGCATCTTGCCGTGGCCTCCAAACATGACCTCACTTCTGCCAACTGCTCTTCCTAATGCCAGCCACGTTGTCCTTCTTTCTGTTCCGTACGTCTGTCGAGCTCCTTCCTGCCTCTTAACTTTGCCATATGCCCTTGTCTAAAATGCTGTTCCTAGATGCCTCCCTGGCTGGCTCCTCTTCAAGTCTTAGGTTAAATGTCACTACTTCAGACTGCGTGAAATAGTCCTCAAAGCAGTCACCTCCGCCTCAGATTTCCAGTTGACTTACTGTCTTTTTCACCTGCCCCACTCCCCAGTCCTGCCCTCCTCCCAGCTTAGCAGAGGTCCTGGCACAATAGTGCTCGAAAAGTATTTGTTGAATGAATAAGGTTATAAAGACCCAAATGAGGAAGATGTTAAAGAAAGTAGAGATCAATAGCAAAAGATATTTGTAAGGAAAATGTAAATCCTGGGGCTGGGTACTGTCTGGGTAAACTGTTATACTAACTGAGGCTGGAGGGTGGGGGGACCCAGTATAGCCTGTCTAGGGCCTGCTGGGTTTGAAGCACCACGGGCAATGCAGATGACGTCCTCCAGTGGGTGGTTGGATACAAGAGTCAGAACTTCAGGGATTTAGGAGGAGAGGCCAGCCTTACAGAACTGAAGCCGTGTCAGTGAGGAGGTAGTCAAGAAATCAAATGACATAGTACGTTAGGCAGATCTGCCGCAAGAGACCTCTTTAAAGTGTTAAAAAGCAAAGATGTCACTTTCAGAACTAAAGTGCACCTGGACAATGAATAAGGAAGACCAAAGAAGAATGGATGCCTTTGAATTATGGTGTTGGCGAAGAATATTGAATATACCATGGACTGCCAGAAGTAAAAAACAAATCTGTCTTGGAAAAAGTACAACCAGAATGCTCCTTAGAAGCAAAGATGGCGAGACTTCATCTCATGTACTTTGGACATGTTATCAGGAGGGACCAGTCCCTGGAGAAGGACATCATGGTTGTTCAAGCAGAGGATCAGTGAAAAAGAGGAAGACCGTCAATGGGATGGATTGACAGAGTGGCTGCAACAATGGGCTGAAACACACAGCAAGGATTGTGACGACGGTGCAGGACCGGGCAGTATTTTGTTCTGTTGTACACAGGCTCGCTATGAGTTGGAACCAGCTCGACAGCACTTAACAACATTACCCCTCTTATTTTCCTATTCCTTGCTTACAGTACAGCGGTCTAGAACATATTAGGAACTCAGATTGCAGCTCTGAAGTGAAAACGACCAGAAATGCATGGCTCCATGTGTGCTGTAGCGACAAGCGTCCTGGAAATACGCCTGATGGGCCCAGGTGTAGCATCCCGTTAATTGTTTTTCATTCCATAAGAAATCTGTTATCACCGAGGTCATATTTAATAATAACAGAGATAGAAATAGCACAGTATCACAAAGTTCTTTCTTTGTCCTTTGCTTATTTTACTAATAGTATTTAAAGTGAAGTTGAGGGAAAAAAAGAATTCAAATAGGCAACAAATGAAAAAAGTTTGGTCTCACTAGTAATCACAGAAATATAACTGCAGTAAGAAGGCAATATATTGACAGATTTTTTTTTAACAATGTTCTCACTAGAGTGTAGGGAAATTAACTGTGCATTGCAGGTGAGACTATGAATTGGCTTAAGAATATTATTATTTCTGGATCTGATTTGACTACATATAGCAAAACCATTAAAAATGTTCATAATCTTTCACCCAACAATTACACTTCTAGGAACTTAAACTAAGGAATTCGATATGAATGTGGATCACATAACAAACACTTCAACCAAAGTTTCCAGTACTAGGAGATTTGTTAATAAACTATGTCAGATAAAAAAAAATAAACTCTTTTATACCCAATAAAATGATGTTGCAGAAAAATAATGTTTATGATATATTACTAAGTGAAATAATCAGATTACAAAATAGTATGATCTCACTTTTATAAGTGAAAAGATCCACATTCATGAATGAATTTTGTATTCAGAAATAATAAATACAGTAAAGCATTAGCGATGGTTATCTCTACTTAAATTTTATTTTCTTCTTTTCATGAATCTGTATTCTCTCAATTTTCTACAATAAGCATATATGACTTTGTAATTTTTTAGGAGTATTTAAAAAATAATAACTAGTAAGCATATTGCCCACCATCTACTATCTGTTTGATTTATGGCAAATTCCTTAACGTTTTTGTCTCATCTGTAAAAAGAAGATTAATACCACCCAAACTACATCATTGTTGTGGCCCGAAATAAAATGTGAAAATGCTACACCAAGTCTATCACATAACAAAACCCAGTTGCTATCAAGTCATTTCCAACACATGGTAGCCCCATGTATTTCAGAGCAGAATTTGCTTCATAGGGTTTTCAGTGGCTGACTTTTCAGAAGTAGATTACCAGGCCTTTTTTCTGAGGCAGCTCTGGGTGCACTCAGCCTTTTAGTTAGCAACCAAAGGAGTTAACTGTTTGTACCACCCAGGGACTCACTGTCACATTTAAAAAAAAAAAAAAATCCATTGCCATCGAGTCAGTTCCAACTCAGAGCAACCCTATAGGACAGC